GGCTTTTATAGATAAGTTCAGGGGGGTCTGTAAACTGTCTGCAATTAAAAGATATATTTTTTAAAGAACCATTATGCTGAGTTGATATATGAGCATGAAAAACCTTTACAAAGATTACAGAAGCACCACATAATGTAAATGTTCTACAGCAACTATAAGTTCTTTATTTTGAATCGTACATCTAAGCCATTGACTATTTTTGTGAGTAGAAATCAGTAAAAAAGGACTTAAGAAGTTTGAGAACTCTTGCTTAAACCAAATGTAATGCATTTTGATGGGTACGTGCTCTCTGGGAGAAATGAGAAGAGTGATATAGGACTGTCCAGTACCAAAGGATGCGGAACCCTTTCGCAAGTAAGTTCTGGCAATGTCCAATGTTCTTTTAGCTCATGTCTAGTTCTATAATGTTATTGTTATACAATGTAGGCAACATGTCATCTGCAGAACACAATCTGTTCAGGCAGCCAGAATTAACATGCGATTTATTGTGACGGTCCACAGGGCCATTTCATAAAGCCTGCAAAGGGGATAATACAGGCTTTCTGCAAACTTCCAGAAAGTCTGTATTAGACTTGCAGCCTTGCAGACATGCTGGTATTAGGCACTGAAGACAAGAGAACGGGATGCTAATGTGTGGCCATGAGTTAGTAAGGCAACAAGATAGATAATGTAAGGTAAGGTAGAACAAGATAAATAAGTCATGGCAAAGACTTACCTATATCATTCCCATGCCTTAAGTTGTGACCATGCATTAGCATTCCCCTTCCCATGTCTTAGTAAGTCATGGCCGGGAATGTCACCAGCTGGGCTCTGTACAAAGAGAAGCATTTCCACAGTGATACGAGTGAAAAAAAAAAATCAGAGTGTGTTGTAACTGCTTCTAAAACACTATTGGCCTAAACACTCAGCCAGTAGGCTTAATGACAAGTTGAACTTAAAATTGATTAACACAGACACAAATGAATGAGCAGAACTAAAGCTGATTGCTGTATCAGCGTAAAAAAATGGACATTCTAATGTCATGTTTGAATCTCATTGGTGGGATTGTACAATCTATGGACTGGCCACAGCAAATCCCACTGGTGTGACCATACTATCTAGGGACTGGCCACAGCAAATTCCACTGGTGGGACCATACTATCTAGGGACTGGCCACAGCAAATCCCACTGGTGGCACCGTACTTGCCAAAGGGGGAAGGTAACCAGCCTTTATGAAACAGTTAATGCACAGCCTGGTGGCAGTATGCAACCCCAGGCAGGGGTGTTGTATTTCCTGTGTACTTGCATACAGAAACCACTCTCTCACAGGAAATCACAGGGGAGCACAAACAAAACCAACAAACAAATTTCAACAGCTAAAGGTCAGGCTCAAGCACAGTAATTGAGCATCACGCTGACACATTATGAAATACTCTGATCCCACACACTCATTTGCTGAGGTAGGCAAACTACATTTTTTTTTTTACTCTTTGACTGTTGTTTCTGTTTCTGTTCCCTTAAATATGGGTCAAGTCGCTATCCAGTTAATTTCAGTATTGTTGAGACAGACTGTCCCTTTATGTATGTGGACACAGCTCTTGTCTCAAATGGTAGACACAACTGGTAGACAAAAAACAATTTTTGAGGGGGAAAAAAACTGAAAAGTGCTAGTTCCTCTTGCAGCCAGTCCCCACATCAGGAATGTTCTAACTCTAAAGGGAAGTCTTATCCAAAAATAGCTAAATAAAGATGTCTCTCATGATCTACCTGAAAATTGCAGAAGTTGAAGTGTTTTTGTTCTTTAAACGCCAGTCACTGGAGGAAAACCATGTGATATGCTGGGCTATGTTTAAACGGCTTATGAATCTCATGCTTATTACTGCCTCCTTTTGCCTTGGCCTATATGCACGCAAGAGCAGCATGGATACTTCTGAACTGAGATAAAAATATTATACTAAAGGCAGAGTTGTGCAGAATAAAGAAGTCATGGCTGTATACCGAATACACTATTGTAACTGTATTCAGTAATGTATTCCATTACAATATATGAATACAGTACATTTGGAATACATTCAGAATGCATATTGATAAGGCAGATGGGAAAAATGTTTTATTTAATCCACATTGTTCCTCATTGTTACTGGTTGGAAGTTGTGTTCATGTAATTCTTCTGTTAATATGTTTCATGATAATTTCACTGCTTCAGTCCACTGCGAGGAGCAAGCTGTGTAGAAGTGCTTTTCTGATGTGAGACAAAACCTGCTCTTCTCAACTGCAACGCTACTTGATCCAAGGTAAAAAATGTAAAGTATCTAGCTAATGCATGTCATTTAAAATCAGCTAGATTTTAATGATTAAACTGCTGTGACATGTCACACTCATTTACACTAACAAATACTTAATTTCAAATAGGTTACTTAGTAGTATTGGAATCAACATCGGCAAGTACTAAAAAACAAACAGTCATATTCTGTCTGAAAATAATGGTATCGATGCATCCCTAGCAGCAGCCTAAACTCTTGCGGCTTAACACTAGATGTTGGAACAATTCTGTGAGGATTTGATTGCGTTCAGCCACAAGAGCATTAGTAAGGTCAGGTACTAATGTTGGTTGATCAGTTCTGGACCTCAAACTCCACTCTAGCTCATCCCAAAGGTATTGGAATGGAGCTCCATCACTCCAGAGAACTCAGTTCCACTGAACCACAGCCAAATTCTAGGGGGCTTTATACCCCTCTAACCCACACTTGGCACTGGGAATGTTGACTTTCGGCTCGCGCATGGCTGCTCCAGATAATCTCATTCTATTGGCATTGCATTTCTATGGAGATTATACAAGCTGAGTGTGCAATAAATCACCTGTGTCAGCAATGGATGCACTTTAAAGTACCTGAATTTACTAATTAAAAGTTTGTTAAATGTCTGGATACTTTTGGACATATAGTGTACTGGTGACAAGTTTTGAGCTAGCTTGGATAGGACTGGACTACTCTTGTACTAGTGCTAGAACAATCATGAATAACAATCAAATTCAAAGCAGGGATGACTGAATAAAAATGTCTATATCAAGAGAGCCCAAACTTGATCCTGAAGCCTCTCTGAACCCTTTCTGCAGGGTGGTAGATTTCAAGACCTATGTTACATTTAATTTGTGTTGGTGCTCTTTTTGACTGATGAGGGAAATTCAAAATTATGATTCATCCACCTACAAAGCAACCATGACCAATTACTGTGGTTAGAGTGTGGTATGATTTGTATTTTGGAAAGCATGAATAAGTCAATATCTTGGTTAGAGTCACTACATCTGGATCATAGACTGACATTTATCACACTCCAACTATTGTGGTTTCTCAAATACTAGGGATCATTTTAAACTGTTTAAAGCCACAATATTAATCTCATTATTTCAACAGTAATTTTTTGTTCACCTATTATTGTTTTTTTCTTAAGACTAACTAGTTTAATGATTATCAATATTGTATTAACCTAATATGTCTAATATGACTGACTATTTTCTATAAATGACTAAGTTCTCAATATCTCTGTCTTGTGTCTTGCTCTGAAACTAAAGAGGAAGTTTAGAGTTTAGCTAACTTCAGCTTATTCACTTTAATGATGCACTTAAATTGTTGATTATTATGTACTGTACAGCAATAAAAGCAGCTGAAGGCTAAAGGAGCAACTTTGTATATAACAGTTGTTTAGTTAACCAGCTGTACTTTGTTGAACATGAGACGAATGATAGAGGCATGGAAGCTGGTTTAGATGATGCTCACTGCCCTGTAGTGCCATCCTGTGGTACGTATTAGTAAGTGAATAAAAATGGGCCACTTTAGTGGAAGTAATTTCACACAGGACTAGCATTACATAGAAAAGTATGTTACATTTAATTGTTCTGGCATGTCATCCCCTTGGAATTATACAGTTCTATCTGGGATCTTGCACTCCAAATAGCAAAACTGATATGTGGAACACGATAGACACGCTAAATGTATTCTAAATGTACAATATCAAAATCCTATCAAATTTGTAAATTGGTCTTATTGGAACAGGTCAAATGCAGATAGAACCTTCAAATGTTTAGAACTCACTTTCTGCTTGGAGTTATAAGGTTCAGAAAGTTACATTTATTACTTTCTATGACATTTTTATAACATTTATTTTTATTATTTCTTTATTTTTTAATGACATTTATTTCTTCATTTATTTAGGACAAATCATCTTTTTCTTATTCAAAAAAGCATTGATTGATAGATTCAGTATAACGGTCAGTGCTAAATATTTTGTCCAGTGCGGAAGTAGGAACCTTTAGTTTACATTTCCTTTGGGTCAGACAGCAACCAGCTACTGTAATAAACTGTCCCAGCAAGTAAGAGTAGCAGGTCAGTCTAAAGGCAGTGTGAGGTTTTGTTTTCTATCAGAAATGTGACTCTAATGCACTAAAATGTCTTACTTTGGGAGAAAAAAGAAAAAGAAAAGTTGCATGAATTAATGAAATTAATGCATAAGTTGTAATTAAGAGCCCATCTGTTCAAATGTTCACTATTTAATTAACTTTAAGGCTTAACATTTAAAAATTTTAAGATAATAAGACGTTTTAAAGAACTTTAAGACAGGCAGTGTTTACGAAACATGAAAACATGCTGCTGAAAGTTTTATAAGCTTTTCCCCACAGTCACTGAGCAGTGCAGCGACATGACAGAGAAGCAGAACCTGATTGGTATTGTTGTGAGTATTCAAAGTGCTGATTGGCTCACAAATAGACCCTTATAGAACTAAGTTAGAGTTTGACTTTGGTGATTTTTTTTTTGGATTTTGGAAACCTTTTTGTTTTGTAGATAAAGAGTCCAAAAATGCATAAAACACTCTCATAATGTTAAGACGTCACAGAATAAGAATATGTGAAAAAGCTCAATTTGGACAACAATGTCAGACAGAACCTTATAATGCCAAGGGGATGATGCGTTGTCATAGTTATAATCATGACTGGACTTTACTAAGAGTATGGCCCACACAGTATGCTGCTTTTATATTTTTTTTTTATTGCAAAACCATATAGATATACAGACTGAAATCAACCACATTACATTATGATCACACTAACACAGTACTTCACAACTCTTGGGGAAAAAAAATACTGTAGGAAATGAAAGGAATGTTAATTCACTTAAATAAGAGACATAAATAACTAATTTACTATAAACATTGAAACGTCTCTAGAACAGAATAAGATTCTTACAAAAATATATAATAAGAAACAAAAATCTTAAACATTTATACAGACATATACACCACTAAGGGCTGAGAACAATCACCCGTTCACATAGATCAGAAGAGCAAAAACCAGGGCAGAAAGTGCAGAGTGTTGCTTCTTGTTCTGCCGATCGATGTTATAATTTGGAACGCAGTGTACAATTTCTCAATGAAATTGTAGTTAATCACAACTTGGATGATGATTTTATGGTAGGATTTGCTACAGCAAGCTATAGCAAATGTATATATTATGTATACAGTATATGACAACTTCAGATTCTAAACATTCAAACCATTTTCTTCCACAGTTCTCAAGTTTTAGAAAATCAGTGCACTCCTTGACACAAAGTTTCTTCAGTTTCTAGGTGCTTAAAAATGGATCAGTGAGTTTCTTTGTTTGGAAGTCAAATTTGGACAATTTTTTCTTGTTGGCAACAATGACTCCCAACTCTTTCAGTGACCTGCTAAAATACAGAAAGCACAGCCTTGAGACTAAGACTACTAAGACACCGCTAAGGCACTGACAAAGTAGATATGTCTGTTTTAGCATTATTCAAGCTGACCCATTTGAAATGTAATACATTGAAAATATATTACAGTATATTCTGTTTAGGTGTAGGAATATGTTCACAAGATGTTGCAGTATATTCCACTCTGATTTAAGAAGAGAGAACCTGCCATGTGCCTAATGATCCCCTTGACTAGCAATCAAGAAGAGACCCCAGTGTGTTTGTGACTCATCCTTTAACAAGGGCATGGACTCGATAGGCCTGATGACCAGATTCACACTATCATTTTTTGTCAGATGGATCACACCAGACATGGACACAGTGCCTGAACCGTACTGCTCTGCCTCAATGAGCTTGCGTTTCGTTTTTTTAGGCATGTTCTCATTTGCAATCACAGTAACCGTTTGCTTATTCTTATCATTATTATTATTATGCTTCAAGGAGACCTGGGCATAGATGTAGTAGAATCCTCCAACTGTGATCTTGACCCTGTTGTCCTGAAGGAGGAGGGAGGTATTCTTGCAGAAACACATTTGGCCATGCTGCCAGGAAGTTCCATTGCCTTCTCCTGGTCCACAAAGCACATAAATCAGTTAGAATGAAACATCAAATTACTCTGGCCCAAATCTTTATTGCACAATTCTTACCATGCAGCTAAACACATTGGCCCATTTATCAGAAACACCTACCATATAGACTTCGTGGGCTACTGACCATCTGTCGCTGAACAATTTATCAGCCCCCTCTACCCTTTCCATCAATGGAAACCTACCACAAGGACCACCACAGACCACTTATTATTTGAGTAATGGACAATTCCCAGCACAATAATGACATAGTCGTGGTATGTTAGCATGTGTTGCACTCGCATGAGTGCACCCAACACTGTCACTGCTGGGTTGTGAATCATTTGCCAAAAGTGGTCAAAACCTGATTCTGCAAACAAGACCAGATTAACATAAATTGTGTATAATAAAAGAGGCTAATATCTGTATAAGGTGGACCAACAAGGCACTTGAGTCTATTAATGAGGCCAATACACATTATAAGCCACTTTATAACACAATTAAACCTAATTTTAATGTGTGCTTATATCAGGGGTACCTAAAATGTTAAACTTCGAGGGTGGGGGGTGGGTGCAAAGAGCAATAATTGTGGTGAGCTGAGGGCCAAAAAGACATTTACAATAACAGGATTTGCATTATCCGGAGTGAGTTTGATCATGTTACAGAGGTAAGCAAATGTAGTTAGGAGTCTTGCCCAAGAACTTTTGTTTGAATAGCATAATGTGCATGCCCAGGCAGAGAATCAAACCCCAGCTTGCCACATGGAGGGCAGCAGTGTTACCCACTATACCATACCTGCCATAAGCATAAAGTGCACAAAACAGCAAAGAAAAAACTTTGTATCCATATTTATTTCAAATCATGTTTTTAAAATTGTATTTTTTTACACTACACTTTATTTTGTTTCTAAAATACTTCAAAAATACAATTTGAAAAGGAAAATAAGAACCAGATAAGATCTTGCATAAGCATATCATCACTGCCCAAATAAAATAAAAATAAAGATAAAAGAGTACTTTTTTTTGGTAAAGCTATTGGGTGAGGGGGTGTGGTAAAGGTAACTTTCTGGCAGGCCAAATCACGAGTCTTCACGAGCCAACTTTGTCCTACGAGCCACACTTTGGGCACCCCTGAACAGTATGGTAGGTGTATCTGATAAGATGGCAAGTATAACAAAACTTCTGTGAGCACTGAAGCTGTATCAATTTTAGCCTTTCACTTCCTTATGTTTAACCCCTAAAACTGTATATAGGCCCACGCTTCAGTTTTTCACTCTCATACCTTTCACTCCACATAACTTACGTATTAGTTTCATACTATAATAAACCTAGTATTCATGAGGGTTAATGGTCAAATTACATGAATGGAGAGAGCTGATTGTAGATCAGCAAGCTTACTTAAGATGCTTGTGTATAAAGCAACATTGATTCTATTAAAAAAAAAAAAAACCTTGGTATTACCCTACATCAGATAAGGGGGTCGTTGCATGCACACCCTAATCTGCTACGAGCTAACTTACATAGGAACGTTATGTCTCAGCTGGACGATTTTGTTCCATTTGTGTAGGCCCCAGCAATCGGCCTAACCACATTGAACACCCACTTCAGAGAGGTAGTGGAGCAGATAGTATGGGAGGAAAGACCATGAAAGGAACAGTCCCCCCTCCAGTTACACAACACACATATAAACATATTTGTGTCCTTTTCCATAGTGATTCATAACGCCTCTACAAATTTGACATTAAATTTTCTTGCGGTCACCAGCAACTGTTCGTCAGTTTCAGAGAGAAGATTACGGACTACTGGACGGTTATGTTCTGAAACGCCGTTAGGATCAGGTTGTAGAAAACCGTGAAGGATTTCATGAATCTACACTTACTCTGCTTGAATTAGATATCTGTCACAAAGTTTATCAGTGTTACCACTGTACCTCACAGAGATTAAAGCTGCTTGCTCCATGTCTTGGTCAGAATTTTGTGGTCAGAGCTAAGGAGTAGGAGGTACCGTAAGTGGTTTCAGTTTTAGACCTATCATACTGTAAAGGTGCATATTTTTATACATGGCTGACTTGTTTCACACCACTGACTTTTTCAGTGGAATTAATTTCTGTAGTAGGGGATTTAGGAAAGAGTTTGTTGTCTGCATCCAGTTATGCTTGCTTGACTTTTGAGTGTGGCTGTAGTGGATCAGCAGCTAAGTGACAGTTCCTCAACCACACAGAGAAAAGGAACAAAAATAACAAGATCATCTAGCAACTGAAAGTCCCTGCCGGAATTTTCTTTCACTGAGAGTGAGGGAAAAGTGAAAAAAAAAAGGAGAGCGAGAGAGAAAGATTGCTTACCACTAACAAGATGGATATGATTTGTAGCAAAATGAGGTCCTGAAAAGGAAAACAAAACAGTCATTACACTCTCTTTTCATAAGCAGTGTCTTTTATAAGTAAATAAGCAGTAGATGTCTGTGCTCTCAGTAGCCAGCATACTACACTACATTATATTACTCTTACTCTTACACTTGTACACACTGAGGTGTGCAATTTTGCACATCAAGTGGTCACATAGTGATTGTGGTGGTGTAAAGTGATGAATACTACATAGAGGCATTTCCTTGTTTCGGTTACATCACATACATGTTGAGTGTAAAGCTTTTACTTTGCTTATCTGGTACAGATCTGTTTCTTCTGGCAACATAAGTTTGCTGATGGTAACTTGCATAGTACAGTTTTCCAGTGGCCTCTTTCACAAATGACCTGACCACAGAACAGGCGCTGTGTGGAAAGCTTACTTGTGCCTGTGAGAAAACCTCTTACCTCGAGAATAATCAAATGAGGCAGGAGCATCTGGAAGGAAGACACATCACAGTTATATCACATCGTAACGATAGTGATGTAAATTCTATACATCATAACTGCATACATACATCATAAAAGCCTCTTGACTTGATGGGTAAATAAAAGTCAACCTTATGATAAATCTTATTGTAAGATGTCCTCAGTCCCTGACAAAACTATACTAAACAAATTATAATAAAGACGTGATGTCATGTTAATAGATTTCTTATAGATTTATGATCGATTCATTACCTGTTGACTCATTCTGCTTTCCATTCGATGGGCTTTTGTTGCTGATTCCTGTAGCAAGTACCACAGCCATAATCATGACAGCGACCGAGAGCAGGCAACACCAGCCCAGCAAGAGATTGAACCTGATGTGGCTTTGGCTGTACATTGCTGACTAAAAGCCAATAGAGAAACAATGATTAGAAGAGAAGATCCACAGCATCCACAGTAACAGACAGTTAATCGTGAGACCGTGTTGTTGTTTGGTGCTTCTCCCTCTCTAAGAGGATCCTAAGAAGATGTCACAGTCCTGGTGCATGAGAGGCTACCAGACACTGTGAAACTGACCACACAAGTAAAGAGACCATGAAATTTAAGGTTTCAGGTAGAGCTGAATCAGTGCTGTGATGTTGCATGACACACACACATAAAAAAAAGCTGAGATCTTGCTATATCTGGTTTTCACCTTCTCAAGGTGATTTCCCTCTTAAGCCACACAGAATTCACCCACAGGTGACTGAAACATCCTACAGTTGATTACACAGCAGCAGCAGCACCTGCCATGTGTTTGTAGGTCTTAGGGAATTCTTCTCAAAGTTCTTGATTTCTCTCCACTGTGGGAGTAATATCCAGTTTCTAGATACACAACTTTTTGCATGAGTAAATGAGGACAAAGGCTGTGCTGCTGAACAGTTCATGCAACGGATTCCCAGGCATACACTCTTAACAAAAGCATGTCAGTGCATCACATCAGACAGGCATATGATGTGAAGATTTTGTGGAAAAGGATGCACTTCCAAGAATGGTTAAAGTTCCCTCTTCAGACATAGCATTTAGCAGACACAGACGTTCCAAGAATTTCTTCTTCCACTGATCAACCAGAACTATCTAGAAATGTGCTGGGTTGTCATTAAGATATACTTGTCACTAAGTCTGTCACTGGAATTCACAAGTGGTCATTCAATTTGACTATTTTCCCCCAGAATTTCTTTGTAACTTGGACCAAGGCTTCATATTTTTAACAGTCAATATTTCCTTGTTTTTGTCTTGCATATTTGAATTCCATCACTTTTCTTTAAACCTCCATCAAGTTGCATAGTTAATTGAATACCCAACCTGCGTAAATGACCACTTTTAAGTAATCCTGCATATGACAATCATATCATATCATATCATATCATATCATATCATATCATGTCATGTCATGTCATACTGCCTTACATTCGGGTGCAGAACCAGAGAGGTTCAGTCCTGTGCATCCCAAGCACCCTAATTACTGTCTAAATCCATTTATTAGTAAGCAGGACTGAGGCACTAAAATATGTTCTAGACAAGGTCTCTAACTGTAATACATATGTAATACAATTTGATTAATTACTTGAATGTGATAAGATCAGATAGTAGAGAGACTGCACTCACCTCAGTGTGTACTGTAGTGTAAGGACTAGTGAACCAATGTGTGCTTGTTTCAGTGTCACACATCAATTCTGTTCAGTTCTCAGGACTTCCCCTTCTTCATTCCGTCTTTATATAGAAATGAACACACTCTTACTCTATCTCTCTCTCTATCTCCCTCTCTCTGTCAATCTCTCTCTCTCTCTCTCAATCGCTCTCTCTCTCTCTCTCTCTCTCTCTCTCTCTCTCTTTGTCTCTCTCTCTCTCTCTGCCTCTCTCTTTATTTCTCTGCAAAGTTACTGTGGTTGGAAACCAAGCTATGCGGCATGAAATGTAAGCTACCGTTTCTCAGAGTGGTCTATACTTTTAGAGTTGTCATCCTCAAATGAGTCTAATTCTTTGTCACTTGTAGAAAAGGTACTTTGTCTAAAAGTACAAAAGTAATCTTCCTCTGGACATACCCTTTTCAGCTTTGTGGTCATTCACTCTCACCAATGCTGTGCTTCCTTTCTCTTTATCGCTAGTTTAGATTAACTGCCTGTGCTTGGTTTCTATCACAGTGGTAAATTTTGCTTGGATCTTATGTGGCTAATCTCTTAGTAATGCTGAGTGGTTTTAAATGACATCATTTGTGATGTTTTTCAGCACATTTATTTATATGATATATTATTTCAGAGCAATGTGAACAAGGACCTCTAGTTTCTCCAGTTACATTTAATGGAATACCAACACAGTCGTTTACTTTTCTATTTAGTCCTTTACTTCTGGTTATATTTAATTGCCTAAGCTGTTACTTAACAGGTCAGTCTCCCTAACTGTTAAAAATGTCTGCGTAATTTAGTTGTTGAAATGTAAACAAAGCCATTTAGAGTGGCTTGATGTAAAATGGTTCATTGTAGAGAAAACTGCCAATTCTGATTTCTGTACAGTGGTGCTGAAGGGGTCACTATGTCTACAACACAAATACAGCCATTTTATTTACTATCCAGAACCACCAGTGAACCTACATGTATCTTCTGAGTTTTAAGGTTAAGAAAGGTATAACAATGGTATAGCTGAAAAAGTAAGTTTTCTTTGGGGACTATTTTGCGCTGTGATGCCCTGCATGTACTTCTCTGCCATGAATGTGTTTCAAAAATGTGTTTTAAACCAAAACCCTATCTCAAAATTATCATAAATCACAATGTCTCCGTTATCACGCAACATATTCATAACCATTTCATGTAATAACTTAATGCGAGGGAGCTCTTTAGAATCATTAACGCTTCAGCTATCTGATTCCTATCACTACCACTGTGAACAATTCTGACTTGCCAAGTTTCTCTAGAATGGAGCATTTCACCTCAGACCTCTCTGAATGACTTTTGAAAATCAAATTCCCATTTAAGTGATCTTGTATATAACATTCAAGCCAGTGTGGAGTCTGATCATGCATCCCCATCCTGATCTTATTTCCCCTGGTGTCCGGTCACAATTTTTACAATCATACACATCAGACCCATTAATCAACAATTCTGTGAAAATGCCCTAAAAGACATAGGTAGATATGTATGTGCCTGCCTTTTTGTGAAATATATATGTAAATAAAGGTAACAAATCTAGCACACAACTGTATATTGATAGCTTTCCGGTAACTGTAATGGCTTGCATAAAAATGAAAACATGCTAACTTGCTAACTCTGCCCGAGGGTGCTCAGGAAGTGAAAAAAGGATGGGGATGTAAGATTGGGCTTCATACGGTCAATCTTCGTACTGCTTTATCTATGCTAAGCTGCCAAACTAATTTGCCCTCCCACCACAGTCGTCCAATCAAGACCAGTGACTCTATATCAGTATGTTTGCTTGACTCTAATACGCCAAAAGAAAGAATCACAGAGCATAAAATGGAAAGGAATTCTGCCCCAATCCCAATTGAAACATGGAGCTGATGTTTATCAGTCTTGTTTGGGATGCTGTACAGCTTGTACCTGATTTTATGGGACATCCCCAGTAAACCAACTTGTACTTTCCTGCAAAGACACACAGGCACCCACACACCAACAACCTCTCCTACACAAACACACACAGTGGTGCTGTCCCTGAACCATGCTCTTCACAAAAGTCATCATGATAGCCATAAACAACAATAAATGATCCAGACAAGATAATAGGTTTTATGATAAACGGTCCTATATAGTTGCCCTTTCAATGTCTGGTCCAACTCTCTTTTATTGCTGCTTCTTTTACCATTATAACATCTTTCCAATGAAATTTTTGATAGCTTATTGATTTCTGTTGCCTCATCAAAAACAGTCTTAATTCATTTTGCATGACCTTTTTCAAACATCTCTTGGTCTGTTAGAATTAAAATGTTTTTGTTACTGTGCCTTTAAGAGTGATCTATGTAAATATGAGCATTTTGTGCTGAAATACAGTCCTTATAACTTCAACACGACACAGAGCTAATGTGCTGTAGGTTGAACAAGTGGATACATGCAAATGCACTGGGTTTTATGACATCACAAAAACACTGAATACTGTTTTTTGCAGCTTAGCTACCATTCATAGACTGTGTAGACTGGGTATGCTTTGAAATTGCTTTAAAATCTTTTACATTTTCATTGTATCAGACCTTCCTATTTCAAGAAAAGGAGAAACCTTTAGTTTTCCACCAAATGGACCCCTTAACCTCTTGTGCTCCAGGGTATATTTTGGATTTTTCGCCTGAATTTACATGCCCCAGTCTCAAATATTTACTCCCATTGATCAAAGACAGGCACAATATGATGAGGAAGCATTAAAAGACCAAAATACCACCAGTTATCAAGAAAGATGGCAGTGATGAAAAACCGAAAGCTGAGAGCATGAAAGAGCACGTGGGTAGAAAGTGTTTGTGTGGGAAAATTCTTTTACAAGGCTTTGTGCTTTTCAGATCTAGGCCTCTTAGTGCAGGCTAACTTCTTTCTGTTTTCATTTGTAGGGGAGGGGGAAAGAGAAAGAGAGGGAGAGGGAGCACCACAGAAGTGTTGATATGTGAAAACCATACTGTGATTCCATCTACGTGGACAAAGCAGGTATGGTGACATTCCTCTTGTGGTTAACTGCATGGTTATGAACTGCTCTCTGTATTTCCCCGCTACATCTGCGTGAGTGTGGCCCAATTTTTGCCACTCGCCGATTTAACTAGACTTAACTTGACAAACACGCGAGCTTAGAGTTTAAGACGTTTAACCCTTGAAACACTAAAAGCCACTATGGGGGTCATCACTTCATTCATAGTAGTTAGGAAATATTTTATATTTCATTGTTCACTGTAAATCCAAATGTTAAGGCTTTGAAGGACCCATATCATACATTTTTCTTATATTTTACTCAGCAAACGTTTGAATACCCTGGTCAAATGACATGTTTTGTTGATCTGAGTGGACACATCCTCTACAGGGAGCACACTTAAATATGGCTTTTTTTTTATTTCAGTGCACAATTTCTGTTTATTTGCTGGGCTTAACATAATAGGAAATAAATAAAACATAAAATATATAATGTGCCATAACTTTTGCACAGGCCACATTTTATAATGGATTTTTCCCATGATGATAAATTCAGCCAATAAACAATGTGTGTTCTCTGTAGAGGATGTGTTAACATATTGTTACTTCAAAAACATGTACATTTGAACAGGGCACCCAAACGTTTGCACAAAATTGTGCACTAATTCATTCTTACATGGCCTTTGTCCAACCTCTCTTTCTCCCTTAGAATTAAACAGGCTGTTGTTTTTAGGTGTCTCTAAGACTGATGTTTGTAAATGAGCTCTCTTCTAAATGGTTTCCCTGCATTCAACCTCATTCAAAAAGCAGTTCAGGCTCAAACATTCCTTCTAACTTCAGTATGAATGGGTGGGGGTAAACTGCTGTAGACTTAGTAGGCAGATATATGTTAATGTATATGTTTTTGTGACATCAAAACCAAAGAATTCAGGCTAGGCTGTTTTTGTAGCTTTGTTTCCATCTATTTCAGAAAAGCGATGGAAAAGGATGTTTTGATTCCCATGATGGGGACTCTTTTTGCACTTTTCTGTAACATTTTTTCAAATGTGTCACAGTTTAGCTGAGCGTTTTCCTTATATGAGGACAAACTGGGGAAAGCTTGACTGTAACCTCAAATAAGCACCTGTGTTTAAAGCCTAAATACCACGTGGTCTTTTAAGTTTTCTCTTCCTAGTTTGTTGTCAAATAGGAGAACTAAACTGAACTAAACAATGTTACATTTAAAAAGTGTTATAGAAAGTGATTAAAACATAAACATTTAGTTATACACTACAGTTACTTAATAATGAATCTTAATAATTGAATAATAAAGCTGGGGTTCAAGGCATAAAGTAAACCCGGTTCAGCCTAGCTTCAGTATCATTTTACCATGTAATGAAAATACACATCTCAGCAGTTTTGGGGAACAGTTTTAAATGTCATAAAAATAACAAGTACAGCAGATTGAAGTGAGAATGACCAATGTCACTTCTGTTTTTTACACTTCATTCACTATTACGTACACCAAAGCTGAACCACTGAACACTTCACTGACCATATGATCACTGGGCTGCACCATTAATCACTTTATTTGGTTGACATACTGAATGTACATCTACAAAGACTGAACAGTTAGGACAGCAGGGTGTAGACAACAGCTCAGGAGCTTCAGCTCTGGATCTTCATCTGTTAATCCACACTGATGTTCATGTCCACAAACTATCCTGGTCTCTTTTCATTGCTGGTGAAACATTGATACTCTATGAGTTGCCAGCACTCAATAAAATAGACATTTGTGTGGACAAAATATGAAAAGTGCTAATAATATTATTGTTTCATTGGAAAAAAGGCTGAGAGTATTAGACACAATAGCTTAGACAAATGGTCTTTTTACCTGCTCAGGCAGCTACGTCCAGCTTGCAGAACTCTGAAACAACAGGTAAATATTTTGATATGAATGGCTATGTCTCTCTTTACTGCTTTAAAGCTGGAAGATCAGATTCAGTGTGATTTAAGAAAGAGAAGTCATTAAAAGAATGTTTTAACGCACCCTTTTCCTGAGGTGGAATCACAAACTCATCAATCTCTAAACATTCCATTTTTGACTTAAACGATTCCAACAGCTTTTCTCGTGATTCCTGAGAACGTGCTGTAAAGACAAATGGACAGTATAAATATGATCTGCATGGTCATACACTTGCCAATGTAGCTACTCTAACAGTGTGTGTATAATTTACACAAATTATTATGTATTTACATCTCATTAAACACTGTGAAAGGATACTATCGATTTTAAAATGACTACAGTCATGACTTTCATACATATCAAAAAGACAAAACTACAATTAGTGCAGCATCTGTAGTAGGATAACGGTTGTCCATGTTTTTTATGCCAAAGAGCGTACAGACATACACAAAAGTTTGAACAGCTTCTGTCAAATTACATGTTTGGTTGATTTTCTAAGTGAAAATAACACATCCTCTATAAAGCAACACACCTCTGCACAGTTTAATGCACAATTACTATTTATATGTACTGGGGGGAAAAAACAATTAAATGTGTCCTGTGCAAAAATTATGAAACATTTTATATTTTATGTTTTATCTTTTTCCAATATGTTAAGCTCAGTAAATAAATAGAAAAATGTGCACTAAAATGAGCAACAAATGCCATATTTAAGTGTGTTCTCTGTAGAGGAGGACTACATTTATACTACATAGACATTTATTTACACTTAGAAAGTCATCCAAACATGTCATTTGAGTAGTTGCACACAAACCTGTGCATACGACTGTATGAGTATTTCAAAGTTGAATGGTAAGACCTGAGGCGACTGACCAAACAACATGATTCTGAAAATGCCTTTCTCCAGATCAGACTTCATCAGCAGCAGACATGAGTCACAATTTACCCATTTGCCATCAAATGCTAGTCCAAGTTGCTCTGTGGAAAGAGTAAAAATAGAAAAATTAAGGTCAACGTATGATGTTTGCATGTTTTTTTCACCAAAAAACTGGCCGTGCCTTGTTCAAAAATAGTACTCCTTATAATTTCAACATGGGCAAGGCTAAACTACTATAGGCCAAAGGTAGGTAGGTAGGTAGACTTTTGTGCCATCACAAAAACAAAGATTCAAAACAGACTACTGGAGAGTGAGTGGTATGACAATGTTTACATACCATATCATGCTCTTTTATTTCAAACAGTCAAGAAAAAAAATTACAATACAACTCCAAATAGTGGGAATGAGTTCATCCAGTCCAGCAGAGATCCTTTACAATCTTGATGTGTGCGACCATCTTCTTTGGACTTAAATCAGATGTATCTAGAAACTTACCCCCCTCTTTCATGATGGGATCCGAGTGTGGATTAATTTCGTAAGTCCAGGACAAGACCTTACACTCATCTTCTCTGCAATTATATTGAACAGATTTGTTCAGAGGTGGTCTGTGTTAGAGTTTCTCTACACAACATGTAAAGTCTTCACTAATCTTGAATATTTTAAATGTTGAATGAACTGAAAGCATCACACCAAGCAATGTAATTTAAAACCGACAATAGCTTGTTGAGGGCTTTGCAGCTAAATTAGACTCAGAAAAAAGGTACTAAACTGTCACTGGGGCAGTACCTCTCTTGCATTGGTGGGTGGAGAGTGTGGTACCCTCAAAAGTCTTTAGTTAGGGAAAATAATTATACCATATTTTTTTGCAATTATATGCTGTATTGACTCCACATACCCTGTCTGTTTATTTTATTCTGTTAAAACATTAAGTTATGAAAAGTTCTAATGCATATCTAGGAAACCACAGTTGCACCATAGTTGTACCTTTGAGGTTACATTTACACCGAACAAAAAATGTACCTGCACAGTACCTTTTTTCTGACAGTCTATGGGAATATTAAGAGTGACAGCAGTAGTACAGAGTTATGTCTAGATCCTGTTCACTATAGCCATAAAACACACAGAAAAGTCAGTCACATCGGTGAAATATGCATAAAAATTACACAAAAGTAATAAACTTAAAATATTTTACAGATATATTAAACATTGTGTGAAAGTGGAGTGGGAAGCTGGTGGCAACTGAACAAGAGACAGGCAACAGTCAGTACACCTGCAAAATGCACCCACATTTAACTCACATGCAAAAGTTAGGGCGTCCCTGGTCAAATTACGTGTTTTGTTGATTTTCAGTTTTGTAATAGCAAATAAAGTACTTTCATTTAAAAAAGTAAATTCAATTTCTACTTTTCCCCCCTAATATGTTAAATTCAGCAAGTAAAGTGCATTAAAATTTGCAGAAGTGCTTACTGCTTATTTGCTGAATGTAACATATTGCGAAAGTTGTTTTATTAGCAAATAAATAGAGACTATGGACTGTAATTTGCAGAAAGACACTGTAGAGGACGTGTTAACTAAACTCACTAAATCAGTAAAACATATTTTGACCGTGTTCAGACTTTTGCACACAACAGTATAAGGTAGGTGTGCCTGATAAAATGGCCAATAAGTTTAGCTATAACGTAGATGTACCTTGCAACTCAGTGTAGATTACAAAAATAGGCCAACTTTGCAATTGAGCATGAATCAATCACAGGCAAAGTTATGATAGTGACTTTGATGATTTTATTGATGAATTTGGAGAAAACTCCCTAACATAACTCAAAACAAATTGCACTATGTTTAAAAATGAAATGACTGTTATTACATACTGGTATATTCCAACACTCACTGGTGCAAAGCTGCAGTCATCAACATAGAGGTATCTGAGGCCTTGTGGAGTTTAGCAACAGAGTTGTCTATTCCCTGATACGTTGCAATGGACTCCTTATCGAATGCAGCTACTCCAATGAAATACCAGTCTCCTAAGTACTGCATCAGAAAGAGCAAAGCACTGTCATTAGTACAGAACAATAATAATGCAGCAGTCATTTCTTCCTCTTCTCTGAAAATGCAGCCCTGCTCAAAGGAAAATCATTGAGACGCTGAAAAATTACAGAGCTTTCATGAATAACAAATAAGTGATGAGGCTCGCAGCTCAAGTCAAGATATATTGAGAGATCCTGAGATTTCCATTATACTTGTACTTTAGAATTTTATAAACGAAACTGATTTACATACAAAATCTGTTTTGAAAAGAAATACAGTTGATGTAAGATCAGTCATAAACAATTGACCATTTTATCAGTATAAGGCTACTCCCCTTTACAGCATACTGTAATTATATTGCATTATATATTGCATAGCTCCAAAATGACTACAGCACTGTACTGTTTAATGTTATTTTAGTGCAGTTAACATCACTGTCACTGTGTAATGATATTCGTTCAGTTGTGCTTTTGCAAAACCCTTTCATCTTGTCTTACCTTGTCATGTGTTATGAGGCTTTGGCTGGACAGAGGAATCGGAGGAAGGCAGGGCAGAAGAACATGTATCCCTGCATAAAGAAGTCCCAGTATTTGGCCAAGCATGACTGCAGCTCAGATAGACAGACTGATCTCCTGTCGCTGACTGATGGTTTCTAAGAGCAGCTCGACTTCAAATTGCTTTAGGGTTCATTCACCCTGCTGGATGTTGCCAAGAGACATTCAGGCCAGTTAATAATTACTGACATGTTTATTTATTTAGTTTTGATAATAAGCCAGACTGATTTGTTTTTCCTTAATGACTGCTGTTTATTTGTTTTTGATCATGTCATTGATCAATTGATCATGTCATTGGTCTAGTGTCATATTGACCTTTGCTATTTATTCAGAGCTGGACT